GTGACAGGTGATGTTCTTCCGTTAATGTGAAATCACTGATTGAACACGTGTCATCCTGACCTCCATGGGGCAGGTGCTTTTAAGCTCCTCGCGTTCATACTGTGAAGGGCCTGGTAATGTCTGTGCAGTTATCATTCCATAGTCTGACACTGTGCTCCTGGCCTTAGCCTAGCACATACATGTCAGCTATACTGCCTAATTTTCTTTTCTCATTAGCCTGTGCCATTTGGTGAGCAGTCTGCAAGCTAATCCAAACAAATGCACTAAAATGCCATGTCAGTCCCAAGATGTCTAGAACGTTTCACTTTTTATATCAACTTTAAAAGAAAAACCAAAAATTTTGAATTCCTGTAGAGAATTCATTCAATAAATAATGACTGAGCACTCACTAGGCATGGGGCAGTTGCCAGATGTGGCAGATCCGGTGATGAACTAGACAGAGCCCACCCCTGCCTGCAGGAAGAACTTAAGGATGGCTACTTGAATTTGCAGAAAACACCAGACTAGGAAGGAGATGTAACACATGGAAATAGGATCTGGATTATCAAGAATTGTTTGTTTGTTTGTTTGAGACAGGGTTTTGGTCTGTCACCCAAGGCTGGAGTTCAGCTGCACAATCACAGCTCACTGCAGTTTCGACCTCCTGGGCTCAAGCGATTCTCCCCACTCAGCCTCCCTAGCAACTAAGACTGCAGGTGTGACCCAGGCTAATTTTTTGGTATTTTTTTTTTTTTGTAGAGATAGGATTTCACCACATTTCCCAGGTTGCTCTCAAACTCCTGAGCTCAAGCGATCTACCTGCCTTAGCCTCCCAAAGTGCTGACACTACAGGTGTGAGCCACCGTGCCCTGCCATAAAGGATCTTTATACTTGTATCTTCGTTATAATATTTTGAAATTCCTAAATCGTTACATAAAACATAATTGTGAGTGATACAGAAGGCTATCCACTAAAAACTGAAAGTTTACCCTCTCTGGATACACAGGCCCTAGTCCCACTCCCCAGTGGTCACAGCTGTGCTAACTTGAACCTTCCAGAGCTTTCCATGAGATTGAAAAACTAATTCTGAAAAAGTTCCCTCAGTGAGCACAATTCCTTATTTAACCCCTAGCCTCTTCCTCACCTGGTGGCATTTTCTAAAAGGTGTCCTTATGTGAGAGAATCCACCTAGACTGACACTAAAAGGGGTCACAGAGACTGGGCTTGGGAAAAGGCTTCACTTATGAAGATTCATTACCTTCTTCTGAGTGTTGTGAAAAGGATTAATGATATTGTATGTACAACACCTGGCACACAGTAGGCACTTAATAAATAACTAGTGCTATTATTACAATTTAATATTATGTGTATTCTTGAATGATTACTGGCTTTTCCAGTATACTGTGTTTTGTTTATGAAGTGTTGGCAGTTCTTTTTTTGACAACCTTGAAAAAAATTGTCCTTTAATGTGGCTGCCCATTGGGGATTATAGCTTTCCATAATCTGTGGAAAAAACACTTCTCAGTCACCCTTCCAGCAAACATAATATCCCCCTTGTCTTCATGGAGGAGAGGTGGAGGTTTGGTCATTTGAAGTGAGACAGGGTGTTAGTATCAGGACCATATTTCTTTTCCAACTCTAAAATCTAATTTCCTCCGAAACTGAGTTTAACAGTTCTGCATTTACAGCTGAAGTTCCTGGCGTCCCACCCCCTCGCCTGTGATACATCACTTAGGTCATGCTTGGAAAGTGCTTTGAAGGAAATGGGCCCAGAAGTGCTAAGCAGTATTACATGATGTGAGCGGACGGTGGGGAGCCACATGAACAGATACAATCTTCTGTCTCTGCTAGGTTTCATTTTCTCTGGTGGGTTTTATGGAAACTTCTCTGGTAGATTTCATGTTACACTGGAAATAAAGCAGGAAGTCACATTTTTATGAATACTGAGAAGAATAACAGAAGAGCGGAATGGAATATTTGCACTCAGTTGAGTATAATCAAAACAGTTGGAAATTCAGAGTCCGCCACTTTCCACTATGCCATATTTTAAATAACAACAACAACAACAAAATGAATCTAGGAGAAGGTAAACCATGGAGGGAAGAGTTTGGGGAAATTTTCTTAATTGGAGAAAATTGTTCTGGAGAATTGCAAGGTTCTTGTTCTATGGAGAAAGTTTACTTAATAAAATTCATCATGCATTCATTGAGTTATTTGTCTATTCATCAAATAAACTTTTACTAAACGCCTTCAGAGGTCCAAGCACTGCATTAAGACACTTGTATAGATAGCACTGATTCATGCAATAGGGGAAGCAGGATAAATGGTGTCCCTGCAGAACATGGAGAAGGAAATCTTCTGGGAAAATCAGGGAAAGTGTCCCTCCAGGGAGTGATAACTGAATTGGCCTAAGAGGTGAACAAATGTTTTCCAGGAAGACATGGGGAGGGCATCCATGGCAGTGAAACAGCATCTGCAAAAGCACAAAGACGTGGCAGAGTGAGGGAATGACTACAAAGTCTGAAATCCTGGGACATGGGTTGTGCACAGTTGGGTCTAGAAGTGAGACCAGAGAGAAAAGTAACAGTATTTTGTTACTTTGTCCATTGGTACCACACCCAGTATATCATTTCTAAGGTTAGGGGTGGTACGACACAGAGGAAGGTATGGGCTTTTCAGTCAGACTTCCTGGGCTCAACTCCTGAGTCCCATAAACACTATTTGTGTGGACCTGGGCAAGCTGCTGGCATTTCCTCCTTTGTAAAATGAGAGTAATCACAATTTAATCTCTAGGTCTGTTGTGTAGACACAGCAGGCTGATTGCTCCTGTTCTGTGACTGCTCTATGTCCTTCACAAGATCAAAACAGATATGATTTAGAGATATTTGAGCATTATCTTCCATAGGGTCATTATCATCTTCATCAACATTGTCATTGTCCCACAATACATTGATGGAAGAAGCAATATTTTATTTTATTTGTATTTATTTATTTATTTTGAGACAGGATTTCACTCCAGTTGACCAGGCTAGAGTGCAGTGGCATGATCTCGGCTCGCCGCAACCTTGACTTCCCAGGCTCAAATGATTCTGCCACCTCAGCCTCCCAAGTAGCTGGGACTATAGGAATGTACCCACCATGCCCAGCTAACTTTTTGTATTTTTAGTAGAGACAGGTTTCACCATGATACCCAGGCTGGTCATAAACTCCTGGCCTCAAGCAATCCAATCCACCTGCCTTGGCCTCTCAAAGTGCTGGGATTACAGGCTCAAGTCACTGTGTCCGGGAAAGAGGCTATTTTTATAAGTGCCTTCCAGCTGTGTGTAAGTAGCAATGAACTAGTCAGAAAGAAAACACCAGGCCATGTAGCTCAAGAAGAGATGCAATACCTTGACATAGGAAATAAACTGATTTGATGATTTTTAAAATAAAGTAAGTGGGATTGCCATCTGAGGAAAAGTGTTTCCTCTTCCTTCCAAATGCTAGAGTGCTGTACTTAGTATTTCGTTTCTGAGTGCCTTCTCCTAACCTCATCTTCACTCCCCTCAAATTGAAACATATGAGGAGATAGAGAGATTCAGAAGATGAATTCCAAGAATATAAATAAAACAGATGGATTACCCCCACCTGTGAATATATTGAGAGAATGTTTTAACTTCTGGCAACCAGCTTAGGACTGAATCACTGATTGGTATACAGAAAGGTAAACAATTCAAAAATCATGACAATTATTAACGCATGGGAAAATAAAGAGTTGTTCAAGGATGGAAACGTAGTTCTTGATTTAAAACATGGCTCAGTTGTGAAAAATATTCACAGTTATATTAATGCAGAATTTGAATATGTTACTGTCAAAACTTACTCCATAATTATAGTGCAAAGATATAGAAGGGAAAGTGTATGTGTGTGAGTCAGATAGGCAGGAAAGGACAAAATAACTGTAAGCGCTAAATCTGAGAACTCAAAAGAGAACATTTGAACATGTTATTTAGAAATATGGAGGCAAGCACCAAAAGAAAAGAAAACAGAAAAAAGAACAAGAAAAGAAAAACAGCAGAAAGTTGAAAATGGTTACTTCTCAAAAAAGCAGAAACAGAGGTTACTGTTTTTCACAATAAACCTTGTAATATACAATTTTTTCACTATAAAAACTGTGCACATGTATTAATTTGACAGAAATAAACATGATATATTTCAAAAAACCTGAAGAGAACAGTGTTCAGTTCGAAGTGTTTGAATCAAGGGCTGCATGGAAAGGAGGCATTAAACCAGTGAATTTGGGTTGAGCCCATTATGTAGGGCTTCAGAAGGCAAGGAAATGATGCACATTTTTAAATGAAGGAGCAACAAGCTCAGATTGTACTCTGGAAAAATTTGGAAAAGGAATTTTAGGAAAAGTTTAAACACAGGGAGGTGAGTGTGCAAACTTTTACAAATAGTTCTGGCAAGCAATAATGACTTTCAGAACCAAAGCAGTGGATATGGGCACTGAGAAAACAAAACAAAATATAGATCTGACAGATATGTATGAGATGGGCCTGTCTCGCCTATTTGAGGAGTGAGGAGGGCAACCTGAAGCCAGGTTCTTGGCTTAGCAGACTGGGAGGATGGTGGTGCCAATACCCTCACAAAAGCAGGTTCTTAGAGGGGAAGCCAGGGAGGAAAAAATGGTGAGTTTTTTTCTGTACATATGAGAAGTGCCTGAGGCACATCCAGAGGAAGAGCTAGTAAATGCCTATCAGGAGATCAGGATGGAGAAAGGGCTGTTATATAGTGACCTGAAAGTCCCTGTTTTTTGTTTTGTTTTGTTTTGTTTTTTGTTCATTTGTTTGTTTTTGAGACAGAATTTCACTCTTGTTGCCCAAACTGGAGTGCAAAGGCAAGATCTCGGCTCACTGCAACCTCTGCCTCCTGAGTTCAAGCCTCCTGCCTCAGTCTCCAAGTAGTTGCGATTACAGGCACTACAGGTGTGTGCCACCACACCCAGCTAATTTTTTGTAGTTTTAGTAGAAATGGGGTTTCACCGCCGCGCCGGGCCTGCCAGACACCTGCGCCCTCCTGCAGCCATCCACTGCCGCCGCCGCCGCCGCCGCAGCCGCCGGCATGTCGGGCCCAGACGTCGAGACACCGTCCGCCATCCAGATCTGCCGGATCATGCGGCCAGATGACGCCAATGTGGCCGGCCATGTCCATGTGGGGACCATCCTGAAGATGATCGAGGAGGCGGGTGCCATCATCAGCACCCGGCATTGCAACAGCCAGAACGGGGAGCGCTGTGTGGCTGCGCTGGCTCGGGTTGAGCGCACCGACTTCCTGTCGCCCATGTGCATCGGGGAGGTGGCCCACGTCAGTGCGGAAATCACCTATACCTCTAAGCACTCGGTGGAGGTACAGGTCAACGTGTTGTCTGAAAACATCCTCACAGGTGCCAAAAAGCTGACCAATAAGGCCACCCTCTGGTATGTACCCCTGTCGCTGAAGAATGTGGACAAGGTCCTTGAGGTGCCTCCTGTTGTGTATTCCCGGCAGGAGCAGGAGGAGGAGGGCCGAAAGCGATACGAAGCCCAGAAGCTGGAGCGCATGGAGACCAAGTGGAGGAACGGGGACATTGTCCAGCCAGTCCTCAACCCAGAGCCGAACACTGTCAGCTACAGCCAGTCCAGCTTGATTCACCTGGTGGGGCCTTCAGACTGTACCCTACACGGCTTCGTCCATGGAGGTGTGACCATGAAGCTCATGGACGAGGTCGCCGGGATCGTGGCTGCACGCCACTGCAAGACCAACATCGTCACAGCTTCCGTGGACGCCATTAATTTTCACGACAAGATCAGAAAAGGCTTCGTCATCACCATCTCAGGACAAATGACCTTCACGAGAATAAGTCCATGGAGATCGAGGTCTTGGTGGACGCCGACCCTGTTGTGGACAGCTCGCAGAAGCGCTACCGGGCCGCCAGTGCCTTCTTCACCTACGTGTCGCTGAGCCAGGAGGGCAGGTCGCTGCCCGTGCCCCAGCTTGTGCCTGAGACCGAGGACGAGAAGAAGCGCTTTGAGGAAGGCAAAGGGCGGTACCTGCAGATGAAGGCGAAACGACAGGGCCACACGGAGCCCCAGCCCTAGACACCCTCCTCCTGCCGCCGGGGCCCCAAGTAGCCATGGCAACAGGCCCAGTGTCCAGTCACTTAGAAGTTACCCCCTTGGCCAGAAACCCAATTCACATTGAGAGCTCGTGTTGTCTGAAGTTTTCGTATCACAGTGTTAACCTGTACTCTCTCCTGCAAACCTACACACCAAAGCTTTATTTATATCATCCCAGTGTTGATGCTACAATGTTGTCCCGAGTGCAGGGAGGCAGTTCCATGGAAACCCTCCGGAATGCTTCCAAGCACACTGTAAGGTATGGGGAGAACCCAGCGCCACTAATAAAGCTGCTGCTTGGCTGGAAAAAAAAAAAAAGAAATGGGGTTTCACCATGTTAGCCAGGCTGGTCTCGAACTCCTGACCTCAGGTGATCCACCTGCCTTGGCCTCCTAAAGTGCTGGGATTACAGGTGTGAGCCATCAGGCCCAGCCAGAGTCCCAGGTTTATATTGGTGATGGCTCAGGAGGCCATCACAATGCCCATTTGAAATGTATGGTGTGAATCAGAGCAAAGTCTTGGCCTGGGGGATAAACATTTTAAAGAAATAATCAGTAGGGAAAAGGCCAAAGAAGACAATGAAATATCAGCAGAGAAACAGGAGAACTAGGAGAGAGTGTCACCACTGAAGCCATGGCAGATGAAGGGAAAAGCAGAGAAGTATAATACAGAGACAGGGCATCCTCTGGAGCCCCTCAGGGGCCTGAGCCATGCTCAGCCACTTTCCTGAAGCCTGGCTGCTTTTTTGGCTTTCATTTCAGCTCTCTGAGCCACCCTGAGGTCCATCCTACCAATCCCTCTTGGGACTTAAATTCATTCAGGTTGCTTTTTCTGTCACTTGCCACGAAAATAAATAAAATAATTAAAGTCCTAATAGAAAATGGTAACTTGCAGGAAAGGCAGGTCGGAAAGAATAGATAGATAGATAGATAGATAGATAGATAGATAGATAATAGACAGATAGAAAAAGAGAGATGATAATCAATAGCTAGACAACAGACATATACTATTACATGAAAATATTTATATGTGTCCCATCTATGTGTTCAGATAGCTATAGATATATTCAGAGAAGCAGCATTGTTTGAAAGCAGAGGCCAATGACTCAGAAAATAGAAAGACTGATCACATAAGAAAAGAGGATGGCTGAGGGAACTTCTAGGGAAAGTGGGATGAGAAGGGACCCCAAGCTCAGATGGAGAGAGTAGTCCCTCTGAGACAGAAAGCAAGGACAGAAGCAGTTTAATACGGTTTGGCTGTGTCCCCACCCAAATCTCAACTTGTACTATAGTTCCCATAATCCCCATGTGTCATGGGAGGACCCTGGTGGGAGGTAATTGAATCATCTGGGCAGTTACCTCCATGCTGTTGTCATGGTAGTGAGTGAGTTCTCATGAGATTTTATAAGGTGCTGTTTCATTGCTTCTCTCTGCACTTCTCCTTGCTGCCACCATGAGAAGAAGGACATGTTTTTTGCTTCCCCTTCCGCCACAATTGTAAATTTCCTAAGGCCTCCCCAGCCCTGCAGAACTGTGAATGAACTGAACCTCTTTCCTTTATAAATTACCTAGTCTCAGGTATGTCCTTATAGCAGTGTGAGAACAGACTAATACAAAGGTAAATTTAGTTGGGGAAGAAGCTTGAAGGAATTCTGCCCCATGCTACACTTTCTGCAAGGTCGTTTCTGAAAAGTAGGGAATGGTTTTAAAATAAGGGAGTCTGAGGAGAGCAGAAATTACTTCAAACCACTTCCCCATGCCATGAGAATGGGAGCTGGCTAGGAACAGGAATCCAAGTCTCAGTTTCCTCATCTTTAAATACCATACCATGGCACAGTGCAGCAACGTGTGTGAAAGTTATCATCTGTAAAACTGTGTGCAAGCTGTTATTATGTATATGGTCTATTCATTTTAAACAAGAAGATAAGGGAATTTATATAACCAATTCTTGCTTATCTGAAGCAATTTGCCAACTTTTTTTTCTGTAAAGAACTACACCGTAAATTTTAGACTTCACAGCCCATATGAACTCTGTCATTGTAGCCCTTAAAAAGAAAGGAAATCCTGGCACATGCTATAGCATGGGTGCAATTTTGAGGACATTATATTAAGTGAAGTAAGCTAGCCACAAAAAGACAAGTGATGCATGATTCCATGTATAGGAGTACCTCGAGTAGTCAAAATCATAGAAACAGAAAGTAGAGTGGCAGTTGCCGGGGCTGGGGGGAAGGAAGATGGGTTGTTTTTTTAATGAGTTTCAGTTTTCAAGATGAAAAGAGTTCTGGAGGTTGGTTTTACAACAACGTGAATATACTTAACACTATTGAATTATACACTTAAAAATGGTTGAGATGATATGTTTATGTTATGTGTATTTCAACACAATTTAAAACAAAACAAAACTAAATAGGCCACTGGCCACACTTGGCCTCAGTCTAGTTTACTAACCCCTAACTGAGAGATTCAGGGGATAGTGACTGTTGAAAAGTATAAATAATGATTTCACCCACTCTAACTGCCTGTCAGTGCTTGGAGGGCAGGGCAATTCTTGGGCCTCCCTGCATCCTAGGGCTTAGACTTCTGGGAGATAAATCATGGGTGCTCAATACATGCTCACAACTTGAACATGGTTTCTCTACAGCACAGGTGTCCAATTTTTTGGCCTCTTTGGGCCACATTGGAAGAAGAAAAACTGTCTTGGGCCACACATAAAACACATTAATACTAACAATAGCTGATGAGTTGAAACAAAAAAAATCACAAAAATAAAACTCATCATGTATCAAGAAAGTTATGAATTTGTACTGGGCCACACTGAACTGGGCCACATGTGGTTCACAGGCCACAGGTTGGACAAGTTTGCTTTACAGCAAACTCCTAGAGAAGGCAAAGCCTGGAGCAAAGCAAATGGGAGGAAGAGAAGGAAAGGGGTAACAAACATTATTTTCCTCAAAAGAAAACTAGTTGCAATTGAACCAAGGCTCTCCCCAAAATAAAGGTTCTAATACTAAAAGTATCCTAAGTCCTGGGACCATTTAAGGAGCCTCTGAAAAGCCATTGTGTATGTACCCTCCAGGGAACTGCTTTCTTTTCAGTGTTTTTTTTAAGGTGTACCTAAGACGATGTCACAAAATCTTCTGATTGAGTTTGCAACTGTCCTGCTACACTGTGAATGGAAGGTTTCTATCTTTAAAATAAAATAACAAAGTTGCCTGTGATCCGAAGGGCCACATTATACATACTCTCCTGGGAGCGGGCTCTCTGAGGTGGGGTGGGTGAGGTAAGACAGGCGGCTGCACTGCTTGGCAGTGACTGTCCTCAGAGATGGCATTGACTCCTGTCCATTTACGCCAGTTCTCTGTGAGGTCTGCCTAACTGCACCACAGTTTCATCCAATCCATTTCTGGAAAAGGTATCTCCCCCTGAAGTCTGGAAATGGCTGTAGTGAGAAACAGAGGGCAACATAAGGTCACCAGATTATCAGGGGGCATCATAAAGGGATTTCTGGAGGCTTCAGAACCAATGCCCAGTTCATAGCCTTCTTCTCAGAAAGCCAAACCCTGGGCAGGGTGCTGGGAAACTCTCAAATCCACCTTCAAAGTTGAGACCTGCTCATATTTTATAAGGTTAAATGTTGAAAGTGAAGGTTTGATTGTTGGCTCTGTAAAAATGGGAAAGGAAGAAAAGGGCCAAAAAAAAATGTGGCTTTGCAGGGTAAGACTTTTATCTAAAGCAGGTACATTGTACGACTCCAAGCCAAGAAACAAAGGGAGCCTTGTGTACCTTCCCTCTGCAGGCCGTTGTAATGCTGCAATAGGAGTAAAAGGAGTCAGGAAAATGGTTTTTGTGCTCCATGGAAAAGAAAGAGCAATTCATGAGAGCTGCAAACAGGGGGCCTGCTCCCAGGCAGACCAGCAGGCCTGGCTTGACCAGCGGTCATGTTTCACAGCAAGGAAAGGAGGCCTGCCAGAGCTGGGACCTGGGGGAGGGGAGGGTTCTCCCTGCTGCTGATCAGCCCTGCACAGGAGGGAGGATGCAAGCTCTCCCTGAAAACACGGAGCAGGAGACCAGGAGGCCCCTGCCCAGTTGGGCCTGGTACCCTGCTGGGATGCACAAGTAATTACAAAGCCATGCCCCAAGGCTTCACTGCCTGTCCTGAGGTGACTCCAGTGCAGAGCCCTGTCCAATACAGCAGCACCAGCTAGCAGCAGCTACTGCAGACCTGAAATGTGGCTGCTCTGAATTGAGATGTGTTGAAGGTTTAAAACACACACTATATTTCAAAGACTAAGTACCAAAAAAAAAGGTTAAAATGTCATAAATAATTTTTGCATTGATTACATGTTGAAATCATAACATTTGAGGTATATTAAAGAACATACACAATTAATTTTACCACTGCTTGTTATTTTTTAAAAATGTGACTGCTAGAAAATTTTAAATTATATATGTGGCTCACATTATATTGCCTTTGAACTATGCTACCTTGGAGAATCCAGGACAGTTCTGACATTCTCAACTAATTTCCTTTCTGGTGTTTGGATAAATGAGAGAGTAAGACTGAGGAAATAAATCCTAGGAATGAATGCATTTATGGTCCCAAAGCCTGTAGGTACTGTGTGAGGTAGCTAGTTCTGACCCTAGCTTAGGAATGCTATGGATTCATCTACTCCCTTCCTGGTCATCAAGCCCTTGGGTCTGATTTACATTGTGTTCCTGGCACCTAGTCTAGCACCAAGTCAGCCCTGCATTTGTCCAGAGAATAGATGTGGCGCGATGTGTGAACGACCATGTTCATTTTGCAGAGATTTTCAAGTTCTCCACCTCTTCCAAACCCAATTCGTTAAAAAAGAAATTTGAAAATAAATAAGCAGTTACAATAACTTATAATTACCACACACCAAGTCCTGGGAAATATCTGTGCAGGAAAGACTGAAAACACAGGTAGAAATGGGGTGCCACCTCTCAGGAGTGGCTTCATTTTTGAAGTGATGGAGTGTGGCATCAAGGGCTCCAGTGAGGGAGCCAAAGCTCTATATTTTTAGTGCAATGTCACCAACACTAGCCACATGACTCTGGTCAAGTGACTTAGAGATGCTACATGTTACTTTCCTTTTCTAACAAAAATGCTAAACTTTGTCCTGATTTCTAATTCAGGTAAAGAGCAAATAAGAAAACATATCCCAAAGCTCATGCTGGCATTTGGAATATGAACAAATTAATGTTACTTAGTGTTGAGTCTTATGAATTAAAAAACAAAAGGTCTCAGTGTTTCCCTCTGAAGTGAGCAATGGTACCAGGACTGGTCAGAGGGCAGGGGAAC